GTCGACAAAACACGAGCCTAATGAGGAGACAGATGGCTATGGTTTTGATCTGGAGATCTGATCGAAATTGGCGTCAATCTGCGCGCATTCTGTTAGCATTTTGCTTACTGGGTACATATTCTCAGGCGGAAAAACTTTATATTCCAATTATAAATTATATATTTATAATATATATTATATTATAGTCTTTATGAAAAGTATATATTAACTTTTTGTATGTATTCTAATAAAAAACAATAAAATAAATAGCATTTTTTCTTTCTACTTTAGATCCTTATTTTTTTTTACTTTATGTGTTATGTACTTTTTTTATGTTACATTGTGTCAATTGCACATAATTAAATTGTTTTATATGCAATGCAAAAGTATGACAACATAGTTAAACAAATTTATAATTCCAGCGTTGCAGACTGACAGCTGAAGGATAACAACAAGTGAATTCAAATGCTCAATTTTCAATATCACAAGTCAGAATGTTTAAAAAATTGTCAATTAATGTTACTAAAAAAATTATCATTCGAACGTTGCTTTAATAGCATTTTTAGTCGATTAAAACAGTGACAACCTCCTGTAGATATCCTAACTTTGTGCTTCTTATGTAACAATACTACGCTGTGTGTATTCATTGTTTATTGAAAATCTTGCTATCATCATTACTAATTCTACAAAAAACTACTTGTTATTACTCTGGTAATTTTAAGTTAGTAATGGTGATTTTTCAATAAGTTGCAACATACAACATACTAAACTGGTACAACATGTACTTAGGAAGATGTATTCATGTCAGTTAACACTAAGTAACAGCTAGTTACATTCACGTTATAATTTCTTATTCAACAATGTAACTGTTACATAACACGTTTATATGTAACAGTTACATGCTGAGTGAGAAATTATAACGTTAACGTGAAATGTAATGATGTAAATCATTTTGTATTTATTGAATGTATTATTGTTTTTTTTATTACCGAAATTAAGATAGTTCAATAGAAAGATAGTTAGTATGTGTATTAAATGATCGGTGTAAACTATATTGAAGTCAATATAGGCCAATTGAAGAAAAATTTAATAAGCCACGTGTATAATACATATATTGCATTATGAATGTGGTGCATACTTATAAAATTGATACTTTTATGTAACGTTATACAAGTGGCTTATTAACTGTAAAACGCATTTATTTATAATTTGTCTAAATTATTTTATTATTGCAAGCAATTAGTCAGTTTCGTTATTCATTTTTTTTCTTCTGTCTGTATTCGCTATGATGTGTTCAGTATAAGTAAAAAAGAATTTTTTAATTATGGTACACTAGTGCAATAAGTTATAGCAAATACGGTTGTTTACATTAGTGCGCACTGAGGATGCATTGGGGGAGCGCATTATCAATCATAGATGAGATTTTACCGATCGCGATATTCTCTAGTCAAATGTACTAGAGCGCGTTGAGGGTGCGTTGGGGAGCGCACTAATAGATGGCCTCTCGATCGCGATGTTTACTAGTCAACTTTCGCTGTGTAGTAAACGTTAGAAGACAAGAAAAGGACGAAAAGGAAGAAAAGTAGCAAAAGATAACATTTTAGATTTAATTGAGGTATGTTTAACTGATTATTAAATATTTAGGAGTAATGAATTACTATAAACAGTATTGAATTGATATCCAGACAGCACCGGACATCCACTGGATGTACGTTTCACGTCCAGTTTATGTCCGTATGTCCGATTTACGTCCGTGGACATAAATTGGACGTAACAAGGATGTCCTTATTTGGACATCGGACTGAGATAAAGATAACGAATTACTGTTGTGAATGGATGAGTAACAATAACAAGTTACTTTTCAAAAGTAACTTTTCCACCTTTGTATGTTCATAATAAAATTGAAATGAAGTTCTTTACAGGATTATTTAGGTAATCACAAAGTAGATAGGTAAGTATATTTATATTTTTATATATATTTTTATGCTCATAATAAGACTAAAACGAAGTTCTTTGCAGGATTATTTAGGTAATCACAAAGTAGGTACCCAGATAGCCAAACCTGCTAAAAAAGATTTTGCGCAGAGTCTGTTAACAGGATCTGTTGACAGAAAGGTAACAGATTGTACGCAGAATTTGTTTAACAGATTCTGCTGGCAGAATGCGCGCAGAATTTGCTAACAAACTGACGCAGAATGCGCGCAGAGTCTGTCACAACAGGTTCTGAGGGCAGATTGGCGGCAGATTGCGCGTAGAGCCTGCCGACAGACTCTGACGGCAGATTGGCGGCAGATTGCGCGCAGATTCTGTCGTTTCGTAGGTTATAATTAAATAGCACATGTGTGCTTTTAAATGGATATTTAGGGGAGAGTTACCTAAGATGGGACGGTTTCTTATTTTGATATATATTTTGAAAAGTAATAATAATAAAAAAAAATTATTATAAGGCATTTAAACTTTATTAATGGTAACAGCAAATTTAAGTTAGATACTGGATCACAAATAAACAAAAAAAGTTAATTTTTCCATTTTAGAAAACAATTGCATATGTTCCATCTTAAGAAACCAGTCTCTTAAGATGGGACAAGGCGTAACCTAAGAAGGGACACTACCCTTCACATGTTGCACAGGTAAAATAGAGTTCATCCATCACACCACAACACTCGTGTGCCCACATTGAACACTCGTGACAGCTGTACCAATCTTCACCGCTCTCACTGTATTTTTCATTACAAACAATACATCTTGTAACGAGGAGTTTTACCCCCGTTACCATCGTGTGACGGTGACCACCGATCGTCACACTATCGCGAGAAATCATCGCTAAGCGCCCGGCAACACCTATGCCGCGGCAACCCGCCAGACCGCCGGAAAAAGCCGAATTCTGCGAAGCGGTCGGGGAAGATCGGTCCCCCCAGAAAGGGGTAATTCGCGGAAATCGCATGCGCGACTTTCCGGGAAATCGGGGGGAACTAATCCCCCGATTATCGGCCACCGATCGTCGAGAGGAATTTAGGGTATAAAACCCGCTCTCGACGAGAGATCGAGGCAGACCGTGAGAGACAGTGAGTCCACCAGATCAGCTACCAAAGAGAGCTCCAGCGAGAATCGTGAAGAGAAGTCGACGAGAAGGCAAGGCATCCGCCGGTGAGTAAAGCTTCCACACCGTACCAAACCACCGGGAACTTTTATAAGACCCGGCAGCCGAGCCTCGTCGGCCGATCAGGCATCGCGACTTTACCGTACTTGTCCGTCTGTGTCGGCAGCAGTTAGCCACCGGCACAGAATATCTCTAAGTCTCCGTTCGCGAATTTACCGTATTCGTCCGTCTGTGTCGGCAGCAGTTAGCCACCGACACAGAATAATTCTAAGTATCCGTTCGCGGATTTATACCGTATTCGTCCGTCTGTGTCGGCAGCAGTTAGCCACCGGCACAGAGTATCTCTAAGTCTCCGTTCGCGAATTTACCGTATTCGTCCGTCTGTGTCGGCAGCAGTTAGCCACCGACACAGAATAATTCTAAGTATCTGTTCGCGAGATTACCGTATTCGTCCGTCTGTATCGGCAGCAGTTAGCCACCGACACAGAATAATTATAAGTATCTGTTCGCGAGATTACCGTATTCGTCCGTCTGTGTCGGCAGCAGTTAGCCACCGGCACAGAATATTTCTAAATATCCGTTCGCGAATTTACCGTATTCGTCCGTCTGTGTCGGCAGCAGTTAGCCACCGACACAGAATAACTCTAAGTATCTGTTCGCGAGATTACCGTATTCGTCCGTCTGTGTCGGCAGCAGTTAGCCACCGGCACAGAATATTTCTAAGTATCCGTTCGCGGATTTATACGTGCTCGTCCGTCTGTGTCGGCAGCAGTTAGCCACCGGTACAGAATATTTCTAGGTATCTGTTCGCGGATTTATACGTGCTCGTCCGTCTGTGTCGGCGACCGTGGCCACCGACATCGAATATTTTCTAAGTTCCTGTGCGCGGATACCAGTGCTCGTTCGTCCGTGTCGGCAGCAGTTAGCCACCGACATAGAATAATTTCGAAGTTCTGTTCGTGAATATAAGTGCTCGTCCGTCTGTGTCGGCAGCAGTTAGCCACCGACACAGAATATTTCTAAGTATCTGTTCGCGGATTCATACGTGCTCGTCCGTCTGTGTCGGCAGCAGTTAGCCATCGGCACAGGATATTTCTAAGTATCTGTTCGCCGATTTACAAGTGTTCGTCCGTCTGCATCGGCGGCCGTTGGCCACCGACGTAGAATATTCCCGAAGCATCGGTTCGCGGAATTATCAGTGCTTGTCCGACTTTGTGTCCGCGGTAAGCTGCCGGAATAAACCACCTCCCGCTTATCCGAAAGAACAGCTGGCGTAAGTCGCCCTCAACAGGACTCGTGGCCGAGGACGTCGGACCGCCAAGAGGCCGCGGAACTTCCCCTCTGATCCCGCGGATAGGGGACCATCCTTGCGGCTACGCAGGAAGCACGGGCACTAAGGGACGGACATCGCCGACGCCACACCGGGCCAGCGAGCCGCCCACATACACTTATATATATATCTATTATATAGCATCGAACGTCTTTTAAATAAACGGGGCGCCTTGCGGGACGCACCCAACTTGTTAATACAGAAACGCTGAACACACATTTCTTCCAAGAAGCTACCTTGAATTAGCCCTTCACCCGAGTAACGCACCGACGTGGCGGCGAGCGAGGCGTCGCAGAAGCGGCGAGCCGGGCGCGACGGTGAGGCGACCGATCGCACCGAACCCCGCGGGCGTTACCGTTACAATCTTGTATCATCAACATTCGCGCTATCTCAACTAATGTTAATGGTCTTATTCTGATTGCTTCTTGACTTTCGGACGTATTATTTATCGTTTTCAACAACAATTGCTCTCTTAGCTTTCTTGGCGTTTTGCAGGGATTTCGTAGTGTGTGAGGCCTCCAATTTATTTTTATAAGGCGATTCTGTTAAAATGGTGGATTTTAATGATCTTTTAGAAAAAACCTTTTTTTCTTATTTTCTTGATATCGGAAGGGGACTGATATCAACTATTTTTACCTTTTTTGGCTTAGAGGTGCTTTGATTAGCTACCAAAGTTAATAACGGTAAATCACGATTATTTCTGTGCATCTGTAAATTTTGTTGTCCTGACGTTGAAGGGGTTGGATTCTCATATGGGTTCACTTTTAAGTTAGGAGACCTTTCGTTTTTCCTTTCTAAATCCCGGTTCTCAAACTCTGGATCTTCTGTGGTTTTTGAAGCAGCAAACTCCCACTCTTCGAATATATCGTTGTTAAAGGGCCATATCCCGATTTTCCGTTTATTGCAATCTGTACACTTGATGGTTTTGAGAACGCTTCTGCAACGGCACCTGCGATTTAATACAGTCCAAACGTACGACCGCAATGATTTTTTAACCAACGAGTAAGATACATATCGTAATAGGACATAAACGATTTAAAATACGAAACGTCTAATGGCTGCATTTTATGCGTACAGTGAGGCGGTAAAGATAATAAAATGACACCACTTTCGCGACAATAGTCAATAACGTTTAAACTTTTTGTATGCGAACTATGGCCATCTAAAACAATTAAAACTGGCTGCTCCTTAGACGGTCTGGTTTGGTTGACAAAATATTTAATAAACTGTAAAAACACATCACGATCCATCCAACCCTTATCTTGTGGAAAAGCGGGGCTACCACTGGGTGCATTGTTCATTAATTCAGGTTTTATTCGCTTTCTGGGGAATATAAAAGCTGGTGCCCAAAAATTACCGCTAGCACTCATTGATGCAACAAACGTCACATTAACTCCTCTTTCGACACTTGTCAATCCACCGACTTGCTTTTTGCCTCTTTCAGCAAGAATTTTCGGTAATTTTTGAACAGTTGTTACGCCAGTTTCATCGACGTTCCAAACTCGATCGGCAGTGAGTTTATATTTTTCATAAACAGCTTCGAGGTTTTTAAAAAAGACTTGAACTGCATGTTGGTTGAAGCCTGTAGCTCTAGCATAGGATGTTGCTTCTGGTTTTCTTAAGGAAACATTCCTATGTCTACTTAAAAATCCATATATCCATTTCTTAGATGCCATTCTAGTATTTTTATTAAAAGTAGTAGGAATATTATTGGCATGGGCAAAATCAAATGCCAGATGTCGAAGCTCTTTATAAGTGATCCCAAAAAAACGCTTTTCCATTTCAAAAATATATTCTATAATCTCGTTTTCCTGTTCATCAGATAATACTTTCCGGAATCGTCCAAGATATTTTTCATTTTCTGTCACAATTTTATTGCGGTTCTTCACTCTTCTTTGCAGTGTATTTTTTGGTATATTATACTGTTCTGCCGCCTGTCTTACAGATAACTCATTATCTCGGACTTTTTGTATTGCTTCTAGCATGTCTTGTACAGACCATTTTCCACGATCTGTTTTCCTTTTGTAATTGCGATCTGTTTGAGACATCTGCAACGAAATAAAAAGAAAAAATTAGGCTTTATATTTTGCATGAACAGTATCCCAAGATGGGACGTCCCAACTTAAGGGGGGAACCTGGTTTATAGGGTCAAGATTTTCGAATTTTTTTTTACTTAATCGATAGTTAAACTATTCAAGAATATATTCCCAAAGTTTCAGAGCCCAATTCAAAATATTTTAAAAGTTATAGAATACATGGTGAGTCAGCGTCACGCAAGTATACGAGCGCTCGGCCGGAGTGGGCCGCGCGCTCACCCGATACAGATACGTGCTATATGCCGGCACGATATTTGATTACACATTCCTATAGATTGTCACGTAGGTGTATGAGTGTATGCGTGTCTATGTGTGTGTACGTGTGTATAGTTTATAGTTTCAACGCATTAGTCTTGCTCTGATTCTCGACGAGTAAAGAGTTTCTATTTAGCGAAAGTCGTTTGACAGTTTTAAATATGTATCCAAAAGGCTCAAGAAGTACTTCGCAGCGCATTTCGAAACCGCCGAAAAGAAGATTTCGTGGCAACCAGCATTCCAAGAATGAAAGTGATAATTTAGACGAGAGCAACAGTGCGAAAAAATTAAGTACAGCGGGTACTGATAATATTATTGTGAATCCATTACATTATTATAGAACCATAGAAAAAGAAAAACTTATAAGTCCATTTTGACTTTGAATCCGTATGGCGAAGATTGCCCCGTAAAAAAAGTGAGTGCGTCGGCCACGTTCAGAAGTGGATGGGGACGCGGCTTCGAAATATAAAAAAAAGGAGAAGCTTGGCGGCAAGGAGAGATTGACCGATCTCGTCATAAAAAAAACCACTTACTATGGTTTAGCCATAAGACGAAATGTAGATTCTGTGGGTGATATGAAAAAAAGCATAATGGCAACACTCTATCACTATTGCTCGACCGATGAAAAACCGAAACATGGAAATTGCCCCGCAGGCGCCGACAGTTGGTGCGAGTGGCGCAAAGCTGAAGCCGCCGGTCAACTCGTAAACTATAAACATCCTGCTCCAGTTATAAAGCCTGATATTGAGAAACACCTTACTTCGATCTATGAAGATCTTTCCAATGAAGATCTTTTGACTAGATGTTTAGGCGGGCACACACAAAATTCCAACGAATCCTTCAATTCGACTGTGTGGCGTATCGCTCCCAAACACCTCAATTCGGGCTTTAAAATTGTTCAAATCGCTGCATATTTGGCTACTGGCATCTTTAATGAAGGCTACACTGCCATTTTATTAACAATGCAGTTATTAGAAATCAATATCGGCCAGCAATGCAAAATGTTCGCTGATAATTACGATGCGCAGCGAGTTACGAGAGGGGAGCGGCGCCGAAGCAGCACGACCAAGAAAGCTCGCACAGCTCGTAGACTGAAGCAAATGCAACGAAACGAGTTTTATGAAGAAGCTGAAGGCTTGCAGTATGGCCCTGGTATAGCTGATTAGCATAAGATTGCGATGAGTCTCCAATAAATGATATTTTTTTGTACCACAAACTTTAAACGCGTTTTTCTCGAAATATCATTTTCATACTTTCTTAAAATCTGCAGGAAAGATAGAGAAAAAACTAATTGATCAATCGACTTGATTCAAAGTGCGTTAGCTAGAGAATGAACAACCATTCTATGTGAACCTCAAACATTGGTAAAAACATTAATTTAAATAATTGTTATTGCATAAAAACGGAGGAAATTTTTTCTCAAAACTGTCATTTTTTTGTTCAAGTGCTAAAAAGTTTTGTATTTTATGGTTTTTTAACCATGTTGTTGGTTCACATAGAATAAAAATACATGAAAATTAATAATCTTTTTGGTTTTTTTGTTTCAGATCAAAATTGCAGGCTACATTTTTCCCGTAGTTTGGCAACTCGGTTGACAAGGCGCTCTGATTAGAGATGCACCATGGCGCCATTTTGCAATTATTTTACAATATAAAATTTTTTTTACATCTTCAAATAGGCAGTTAAATATTATAAAAGTTTTAGGAACCTGAACTGCATCATTGTCAATAAAAAAAATTCATAAAAATTTCCTTTTTTAACCTCTTAAACCAGGTTCCCCCTTTAAGAGTCTTTATTGTGTCCCATCTTGGGTAACATGTACAATTTTTGTAGAAAACCTAACCTATATTCACAGGAAATTTTAATGGCAAAAACTTTGGGTAAATATTCATTGACTTGAACTAGTATTTCACCCTACTGCAATAAACTTATATAGTCACTTACCGTAAACAGGACATTCACTCTAACCACCAAATATTTTAAGAAAATCAAATAAACAAATACCAAGTGCTCTGGACGCTGCAATGATTATACTAAACATTAGCGACTCCCTACAAGCAATTACAGCTATGAGAGCTTTTACGTGTTTGAAGCAGATGGCGCCACCCCTCACGTAATTCGTAAAAATAAATGTGTCCCATCTTGGCGACCGTTCCATCTTGGGTAACTCTTCCCTAATCCTAATATTATCCTCCCAAACAGCATACATATTTACGAAATGTTTAAGAAATATAGACTTTACATATTTTATTAATATTCTAATGTCCGAGATCTTCAGGTATGGAAAGGATTATGATAAATATTTTTCATAAATATGTTTATACAAAGAATTTTGATTTATACAAGATTAATGAAAAATATTCATTAATATTTTTAGATATTTATCATAATCTTTTCCATATCTGAAAATCTCGGACATTAGAATATTTATAAAATATGTAACATCTATATTTCTGAAATATTTTGTAAATATTGTGTGCTGTCGGAGCTATACCTGTACTTTATTTTGTTGGTGCTTTTTTATAAGAAACAAATAATACAACTTGAAGTAAACATTTTTATTCATTCCCAGATAGCCAAACCTGCGCGAGCAGATTTCGAATAAAGCCTGCTATCATAGTTTGATGGCAAATAGGCAACAAATTTAACGCAGAATCTGTTATATCAAATTATGCCGCCAATCTGCGGCCAAATATGCTGCGTCAAATCCTGTTGTCAGATATTTGACGGCAGATTTGTAGCAAAAACCGCGCATGACTTGCAGTAATTTGACGGCAGATTGACGGCAGAAACTGAGCAAACTCTACGCGCAGACTCTACGTGTAGTTTGACAGCAGGACCTGCGCGGTTTCTGCCGACAATCTGCTCGCACGGCCTGTCATACAGATCCTGTCGACAAAACACGAGCCTAATGAGGACACAGATGGCTATAGTTTTGATCTGGAGATCTGATCGAAATTGGCGTCAATCTGCGCGCATTCTGTTAGCATTTTGCTTGGTTACATGGGTTACATTCAGTACAGTTGGTAGCACTCGTGGTCACTTGGTTGATGAATTTAATATACAATCGTTAATGATTTAATTCCTGGTTTATAATTGCTAAGTAGTTAGTTGCTGTATTGCTATATGATAGGTTCCCAATTTATTTCTTTGCTTATTTCAAACAACAGTGTAGTATCATAGGGAAATCAACTGCTCCATCTTTTGAAATTACCACGCCTCCCAAATTCCATGCTATTTCTTCTGGCAGTAAAATCAGCAGCAGTTTGCTGTCGTTATTTGCTTTATCCGACTGCTCAGTATCATCCAATTTATCATCAGACATCTTAGAATTGTGTAGTCCGTTTGATATATTCAAGTTTGCTAATAGTTCTAGATTATTTTTATATTTTACACCCAGTGCATTCACTAGATTATCAATTAACTTACTCTCTTCTGAGTTATTTTCCGCTTTTATTAATAAGCTGCAATAGTGAATTATATTAATGTAGACATGTTACAAAAAACTGAGAATATAATATTATTTATTTATAATATCGTTATAAAAAATGAATACTGGCTGTAATATGTTGGTCACTGATAAACTGATACTGTTACTCACTGCTTTTATTACTCCTATATAAATAATAAAATTATAAAGCAATAGTAATTTGTTACTCACCAATTTATTACCAAACCAATATATTAATTTCTTGTACGAATAATTTATCCACGTATATATGTATACTTTTTATTTATTTTTATGACACCAGTTTTCTTACCTTGTCATTATAATAATTTTTTATTATTTTGATTTTAATTACATATCACAATGTATTTTACACATATAAATTTATCAAAATTATTATTATTGTATACAGCGAGCACGTATATGTCCAAACACACTTGTCAAAATACGCACATGTCAATACTTACGTCAAAAATTTTTCGGCTAACCAACGTATTACTACTTAGTATTCAGTGTTACTAATTAACAGAACGTTTATTTGTCTTACCTAGAAGTTTTCGTTAGTGTCAACGTTATCCTCTTCCCTTTTTATGGGAATTGTTGCCTCACCTACACAAGAAGAATATCGGATAGCTCATGTAAAATTGAGGAATGTACCACAGCCATTTGAAGGAGCAGTCGACTGCTTTGACGTTTGTGAACATGTTAGGTCCAAAAAAACATGAACAAGCATTTGTTAATCAATTATCATGGAATGCATTCGTTACATATATAAGCTGTGAATATATTAATATTTTAATATATGTTATTTAATTTTTTCAACAATTTCATAGAAAAATACCTGCCTCCAAGGTCCTATAAACAGCGCTGCCTTTCTACAGGCTTGACTTACAACACTTGTACAATTATGAAGTTCTCGTTTAATGTTGGCACACAATGCTTCATTAAGGATTTTAAATTATGAAAATTATCAAAAAATTGTAAGGAATTGACACGAATCATCAAGTACAAAGTAGTACTGTATCTGGAAATGGAAAAGCCGGCGCGGCGAGGATATTCACCTCCCAGAACACTATGTATGGCAAGATAATAGATTAATTGGCTGGCAGTGACAAGCAGAGTTGTGGAAGTGGTGAATCGTTGGGTCTCGAACTCGGCGGAGACACTTTGACCACGGACTGCGGCATCGTTGGCGTTAATACTGAGTCCTTCACTACGTACCTGATATTGCAGGAGGGCGTTTTATATA